CGCACACAGGTCTCTTTGAACAAGGTCTTAATGAGCTAAATGCAAATGCTGGGTCTGTCTCTATCACAGTCCCTGTGGTCAAACAGACCACTTGGCCCTGTTTGGCTCCAGTTTTGTCATTTTCAGTTGAGGGTCAGTCTGAGGGCCTGTAAAGGTACAACATATGGACCTGGGCATCATTAGGCAAGTGAAGAATCAGCTGAACAAGCAGAAATGATCAGGAAGGTGAAAAGGAATGACGCAACAAGAGGCCATTTCCAGTAGACAGAAGTAAAGCAGTTACAAGTGGTCTGTGTTTTGAGATGTGGCTTATTACGTGGAGTGGGAAAATACATTGCTAAAGTTGATGTGTAGGAGCCATGAACACAAGGCTGCAAGGGTTACTGATATATATCATGTAAGAAGACAAAAGTGGAAAGCAGCATTGAAGAATCCTGAAACCTATCATCAAATCAACAGAAAGATTTAGTGTTAATGCATAGCTTTTACCTCCCTATAAATAAAAGCTGTTGAGACATCACAGGAAAACTGGAATGACAAACAACTAATGAGTACTTTCTATGTGGCAATTAAATATAAAATTATTTTGAAATAAACTATGGTGGAATTTACAATTTACAGAAAAGTTAAAAAGACACACAGTCTCTTTCTTTGCCTTCATCCAAATTCCTCCAACGTTAATTTCTTACATGACCACAATGTTAACGATCAACTTGACCATGGTATAACTGTATCACCTAAGTTAGAATCCAATTCCTGTTTTTCACTAATGCCTTCTTTCTGCTCTAGGATACAATCCATGACAACACACTGTACTCAATCACCAAGCCCCCCAGTGCCTTCTGATGTCTGACAACTTCTAAATCTCTTCTTTTTCAAGACCACCATAGTAGTCTCAAAAATTTGTGTCAGATGTGTGTGAATTTGTTTTATATTTTCTGATGATTGAAATGTGGTTATTTTTCAGAATACCTGAAATAGACTTCTTACAGTACAATGATCATGGACTCCATGTAACCAACTGGCGAGGTTGACTTTGATCACGTGTGTGGTGCCTGTCAGATACCAACAATGTAGTCTCCCTTTCTCTGTGCTTTGGGAGCAAGTCAGAGTCCAGTGCCCATCCCAAGGGAAGGAGCAGTAAGTTCTACTTAAGGAGGACACAATATTACCAACATCCAATGGGATTCCTCCATAGGCAAATATGGCCTTCCTTCCTCATTTATTGATGTGACCATTTATTTATATCAGGTGGATTCAGGGATATTTATTTTATCTTTTGGATTATCATCCAATGTTATCATTATCTATTTTGTCATTCTCTAAGAGGTATATGTGGACTATTTTGATCTTAATTTACCCAACTATTTACCATTCCAATGGAACAGGTACTGACTGCTACTCTTACTTCACAGAGAAGTAAACTGAGACTAGGGGTAAGCTAAGATTTACACCATGAGTCGACTCCAGGAGTTTAACTGTGCTACGCTATACTCTTCAACAGAAAGGATATGCCACAAAGGGCAACAGGGGGCAGGCATCCAATCACTTATTTGTAAAGGGGACATTACACTGTGAGGATACTCATCAGAAGCGGATCACTGACAAAATGGATCAATGTGCAAAGTGAAAGCAGAGAAAGGACCACAGTGATGAGAATCAAGTCTACTGTTGGACTCCCAAAGGAAAAAGAAACATATGAGGTTGAAGGATAAGTGATATCATAGTAGCTAAAGAAAGAAAACAGGTTCTCAGGAACTGAAATCCATTTTGGTGCAAGACTACAGAAAACCAACTTATGGTAAGAAGTGACTTACATGAACTACACCTGTACATCACAAAGGGGTGGAAAAAAAAATCAGCTTCCAGGACTTCTGAACTGTTTCAGAGAAAGGAAGTATAAAGGCACTTTAGTAAAGGGACGCAGGATCAAAGAACATTTTTCTCTTTGTTTTTTTCCAGGACAAAAGGAGACCAGCCTATGGAGAAGACCACTCAGCAAGGGAATGGTAGAAGCTGTGCACGTGGCAGCAGAAAGCAGAGGTGCAGCCCTCAGAGTCGGGGAACCTCAACATCTCCTCATAGGCCAGAGGTCTGGAGGCCAAGGATAACGGTGCTGCTGGGCTGAAGGAACACGTAAACTTAGGAAGATGTTACTGATTTTATTAGTAAGCCTGGGACTTGGCTCACTGGCAGACCCTAGGTGAGCTATTAGAGAGGTGTTGCCAACTTGTCTGTGCTGGTGTGAGGCTGGCAGGCTCGATAAGATGGTCAGTCATACCGACAGAAGCTATGGACTGAGTGGGAAAAAAATGAGAAATAGATTGTCTGGGTTTTTATTGGATTTTTTCAAATGGTTAAAACTGAGTATTTTATGTCACTTTTAGATTACACTCAATGTCAATCTGTCTAAAACGTTTGGAATTAAATATACTGACATCTCTAACCTGGTTCACAAAAATACTAGCACATAACGGATCAAAATAAAAATGGTGTATTTATAAGAAATTTTTAGGAAAATAAAAACTTTTCTCAGTTTTTCTTTAATTCTCATGCAAAATTCTTACAAGTAATTTCAGATTTGTTTAAACATATTCTCAAAATGTTATAAATTACAAAAAGGATTCTGCATTTTGACCTCAGATGCTAACAACACTGTATTTGTAACTGATCACATATAATTAAAAAAAAATACCTCGGGGCCCAGCGCGGTGGCGCAAGTGGTTAAGGTCCTCGCCTTGCACGCCCGGGATCCCATATGGGAACCGGTTCTAATCCCGGCATACCCGCTTCCCTTCCAGCTCCCTGCCTGTGGCCCGGGAAGGCAGTCGAGGATGGTCCAAAGCTTTGGGACCCTGCACCCGAGTGGGAGACCCGGAAGAGGCTCCTGGCTTCAGATCGGCATATTATCGGCCCGTTGCGCTCACTTGGGGAGTGAATCATCGGATGCAAGATCTTCCTCTCTGTCTCTCCTCTCTGTATATCTGCCTTTCCAATAAAAAAAAAATACCTCACAGGATATTAACTTATGATCTTATGGAAAAGTATATATATTTTATCTCTTTAGGTAAAGGGCCAAAATTGGTAAGGTCAGAATTGGATAAAAGTTTATGATGTTAATTGGAAGAACTAATACTGTAAAAATGTCTACACTACCAAAACAATATACAGATTCAATGTGATCCTCATCAAGATACTGATGGCATTCTTACATCTAGGGAAAAAATGACCCTATTCACTTGAAACCAAAGAGACCCTGAATAGCTAAAGTAATCTTAGCAAACAAAAAACAAAGCCAAAGCAGCACAATTCCAGATTTCAAGACATATTACAAAGGAGTTGTAATCAAAACAACCTGGTACTGGCACAAAAATAGACATGGGGTCCAATGGAAGAGATCAGAGACCCCAGAAATTATCCATGCCTCTACAGCCAACTAATCTTTGACAAATGAGTTAAAGCCACGCCCTGGAGAAAGGACAGGCTCTTCAAGAAATGGTGCTGGGAAAATAAGATCTCTGTATGTAGAAATACGAAACAAGATCCTTATGTTACAGTCAATACAAAAATCAACTAACAATAGATCAAGGATCTAATCTAAATCTTTTTTACCATCAAATTCTTAGAGCAAAATGTAGGAGGAACAATGTAAGCCAATGGTACAGGCAAAGGACTTCTTGGATAAGACCCCAGAAGCACAGACAATAAAGCAAAAATATACACATGAAATTACATCAAGCTAAGAAGCTTCTGTACAGCAAAGGAAAAATTCAGTAAAGTGAACAAACTGGCAGAATGGGTGAAAATATTTACAAAGTATACATCTAACAAGGATCAATATCCAGGTTACACAAGGAGGTCAAGAAACTCAACAACAACCAAACTATAAATAGGCCAAGAATGTGAACAAACATTTTTCAACAAACAAAACACAAATGGCCAGCAGACACATGAGAAGATGCTCAGGCTCAGCAGCCAAAAGGGAAATGTCAATGCAAGCCACAGTGAGAACGGGTATCACCCAACAAACAGCAAATAACAACAACAAAGAAGAAAACACCCACAAAAAATTGAAATGAATAAATCATAAACACCAGTCAATATGTGGAGAAAAAGAGCCACTGTTGGTGGGGATGTGAACTCAAAACAACTGCTACGGAAGACAGATTTCCAAAGAAATCTGAAAATAAATCAACCACATGCCCAGCCATCCCATTCCTGGGAACTTATCCAGAGGAAATGAAGTCAGCATCCTAGAGTTATCTGCACTCTCATATTTACAGCAGCTCAATTCCCAAAGCTAAAATATGGACTCATCCCGCATGTCCACCAACTGCCAATAAACTACTGCGCAGATGTGTGATAAAATTGACTTAGCCACAAACAGAATGAAACCCCATCTTTTCCAACAGAATGGATCCACCTGAAGGAGACTACTGTGCTTAGTGAAATAAGCCAGTTCCCGAAAGACAAAAATATCATAGCTGCACTGCTTTGTGGTAACTAATATACAGAGTATGAAAGTATAATGTGAGTGAAACTGACAAGCTGAAGCAGGGTTATTGTGTATTGCTCTTGACTATATTCCTGAGGAAGGTAGTTTTTCCTACATATATTGTTGAATTCTTTATTTAGTGGGTTTTTAAGTTTGTGACTACTCACTGAAGGTATGTTGTTGAAAAAATTGAGAGAAAGCTTAGGGAAGAAAGAATGGAAGCAAAGAGCGAGGGAAGAAGGAAGATAGGGTGAGAAGTATCACCATGTCCTTAAAACTGTATATATGACATACATGAAATTTTTTCCTTTTGTATAAATAAAACAGCATGAATTATTGACTTAGCACTTCCTTAAATAGTATGGAGTGCCTCCCTGTAACATAAACCTTTACTGTACATGTTCATTTCCTTTTCGGGGACCAGAAAAAGAATTTAGATGAAAACATCTTATTCATACTTGGGTGATTTACTTTATTACCACATATATATTATAGACAACATTGATAATAAAGACTGTAAATTGTATTTTAAACAAGAATCTATGCATGGCATATGTAAGCAGTAACATTGTGAAGAAAAAAGAGAAAAAAACATGGAAATGTTTACCTAAAACTTAATAATACTGAAAACACAAGTCTGTGCATAGCATAGTCATGAGCGAGGCTCCGTAACACACTAGGACACTGCCAAGTCTCCAGCACTCCAAAAGCCACCTGGCTGAGAGCTCAAAGCAGACACATCTCGCTGCATGCCCTTCATCTGAAGGTCAAGCCCTCGGCACAGCAGTCTACAAAGCTTTCTTTGCTTGGCACTTGGCAATATAGACAAAGGTATATTTGGTTTAGTATGATTTTATTATTCTCTGATAACTTTAGCTATCTTATGTAGGTAAAAATATATTGCTTAGGAATTTTAACCTTATAAGTCATATAATCGTCATACTATTCACAATTTTAAAAGCCTTATGATCTCCACTCAACAATGCTACCATGTGGAAGAGACCAACACAGATGGCTAAATAAAGGCTTTCAACAAAAAGTTTAAACGCAGAACGAGACTAGAAACCTAGAACTCAGGTCTAAATCCCTGGGGACACTTCATGCTACGAATTATGAAATGTTTTTAGACAAGTTCTTTCCTACGCTGCCCATGTGTTTCATTCTATTCAGAGCTCAGATTTTTGTCTGCAGTCACTTTTATGTACATCAGTTTACTAAGAAATGAAAACGTTATAACACTACCTCTCAATTTGGGATTCCATCAGCTTTTGAACAGTACAAACAAATACATCCAGGTCTTCTGGATGTCTTGTTTAAACAACAGAACAACAGAAGGTATAATTTTTTTTTTTTTGCTTTTTAATCATCTGAGATCAGAAAAGTTGCTAGAGTAAGTAATAATTTGCTTTATTCTTAATAAGGGTTTTGACAGCGTAAAACCACATTATGTTTGAAGGTAAACTGTGTGCTTCTCTTTCTCTTAACTTAAAAAAAGCAGTCATTAATTTCTTGGAAAAGACACACTGATAAACTAAGCAGAGCCAAGATGAACCATGTATGTGCCTATATAAGACATGGCTCTATTTTCCGATGAATGATTTACATATAATTTTGTTCATCTTACCTATACAATGCACCATCCACTTCACTCATTACAATGCTTTGCACCAAAATCGTTAGCATCAATCTTAATATTCCTCAAATATGAGAAAATAAATAGTTTCCACTGTTCAAGAAGTGAAATTTTATAAAGTCAACATAATATATCATAAAAGATTATGGATTTAAAACAGTATTCCAAGACAGTTCATATACACTGAAATGAGTGCCATGCTAAACAATGCTGCTTTTCACTGCATTTTTCCAACAAGTCTGGTCGCCTTGTGCAGCCAGCTTTCTCTACCGCAACATGCAGCCCCCATCACGGAGACTGCGTGCAGGGTCACAGGGCCATCTCCTCCTTCTGGAATCACCGTGACACTAAGTGCTGCTCTGTGAAACTTTATACAGTTAAGAAGTAACTTGGACCTTCAATTTGTTTCAACTGTAAGGCACATAGCAACATTTATGGTCTAGAAGCAACTAGATAACATAATAAATAATCATCTTTTCAATCATATTTGCCTCTTACCTGAAAAAAAGAGGTTAAGTAGTGCAGTTAAATATGCCTGAATCAATTAAAAAAACCAACTGAATTTAGAAAATACAAATATATTTGAGTGCCGAAAGAATGCAATTAAACAAGAAAAGTATTATTTTATATAAAATATACATCCGATGGTGTTACAGGTAGAAAAAAAAAATGTGAGGCACTTAGATTAACAGTGAAGGGGGAAAGCACCAAACCACTTACTTTAACATCTGACACAAAAGCAGAGGCTAAAATGACAGAGCAATGGGTATATTTTGTAACTTTGTATTTGGTGCACTAACAGACCGGAGGTCCAAAACTCAAAGTTGTTCATTTTGATCCCGACATGAATAATTCAAAGGAAGTTTCCAAATTGAACAGCTTCAAGTCCTTGTGGCACTGAGAGCCACGTGACAGACGGTATCCTGCGACTCCAGAGTTGCACGTGTTCCATTTTGCTCACTCTAACACCTGAAATGTCGGTGGTGTTTCTTAAACTCCTTTTTCAGAAAACAGAAAGGAAAACTTGGTGTGGACTCAGGGCAGACGCCAGGCACGCATCAGTGCCCTCCAGGTGGACCTGCTCCTGTCCAGCGCTGACCATCTCATGACTCTCTAGTCCCTCACAAGCTACTTCTGTCCACAAAACCGAGGCACACACTGGACTTGGAATCACAGTAGACCACTGGATGTCAAATCGGGGAAAGGTCTGGCTTCGGCCGGGTGGTGCAGCGGCGGGAGGTGTGTGTTGGACACGGTGCTATTTACGTCATGCAATTCGGCAGGGTATGTCTCATTTAGCACTCCTCCATTCTGAAACTGAAGATAAAAAGAGCAATGCGATTTAGTTCAATAATCCTTCAGACAGTGTAAGTCATTGAACGACCCAGTAGTGATATGTGGTGCAAAATTTCTTAGTTCTTTCTGCAGGTTATTAAATTTCAAATGTGTTTCAGGGAAGACATACTGAGCATATCACCTGCATTATTTGCATGTGTTTTCTTTTGCTTTTTTCCGTTAAGTAACATCAAATTTGGAGGATGGCGCAGGTGAGCGACTGAACTGTCTTCAGACTGCCTAAGTATCAGTGGTCAGGAACTGAAGGATCCACGAGTCAGTTAGAGATGCTTGGTCACGGGTGAGATTGCTGCGAGCTGACTGCATCCGGTCAAGTTCTTGGTAAACTGCTTAGTTGACCACACTGAACTACAGACGATCTGGGCCACTTCAGAGCTTTTAATGGTTTCCAGGCATTTCTAAAATAGTATTTCCCTAATTGATTTCTAATTTGTAATAACTTTCAATTAATGAATACTACTAAAAGGATCATCCTAATTTGAGCCATTATAAAAATAAGTGTCTTACTTTCTTATCCATTTAGTTTCTATAATGCTACTAACAGAAAGAAGGAAAAGAGAAAATGAAGAAAGGGAGGACAGATGAAAAACATTAAAATATACAGTTCTGTAGAATGTCACAAACCACGGAGCTTGCACAGCCTAGTGTATAGACAGCAGAAGTTGTGTAAACTTCCAAGCGGACTAAAATCATTCCATACACTTGCTTCATAAAAAACAAAATCTACCTTTTTAAAATTCAGGCATATTAGGCTTCAGTAAGCAAAAAGTTGATTACTTGGAAGATTCTCCATCTTGTGTGTCAACTGGACATAAAGTAAAAATTCCTACGCACGACAGCTTTGTCAAACGCTATTTTCTCAGGGAATGATCAGCTTTGAATCAATTTTTCTCATTCCTCACAGCATAATAAATGTAAAATCTCTTTAAATACACTGTACGGGCCAGTGTTGTCCATAAGTAAAATGTGAGCCACAAATCTGAAGTTTTTTCAAAGAGTCACATTAAAAGAAATCCCAGTAGGTGAAGTTAATGTTTTACTTAAGCTAGCATCCTGAAACTTCTCATTTGAGCATGAAACGGACATTCTATGCTGCCTGTAGAAGCATCTGTTTCATAGCCACAGCAATCTGCTTTCAGACTAGCCACATCCCAAGTGCCCAACAATCAGGTAACTGGTGGCTACCGTGCAGGCTCAAGTACCTCCACGGAACTGTTCACAGAGGCATACTAAGCAGTGTGGTGGAAGGCTCACGGGGCACTAACGCACTATAGACAGGGAAATTTGATATCAACAGCTTCTGCAGTTTCCCCTGCGCGAGAGTCAACAGGGTTAGAGGACAGCAATGCCATCAGACTGTCACCGAATACTCAAATTTAACATAACCAAAGGATATTTAAAATTCATCGCCATTTTCTATTAACACAGTTCACATACAAGCGGACAAAGCCTAATGCATTGAAAAAAAAGTAATCAGGGATAAAGTAATCAATCATCTGTACATTGCTATACTCTAACACAGTCCACAGAGGTCAATGAACTTACCTGTAGTCAAGCTTGTCTTCAGAACTAAGCAAGCTGCCTTAACAGCCAACTGCAAATCTTCTAATAAAGCACAAATGCAAGCACCATAGCCCCCAGGGGCCGCAGGAAGCATCTGCTCTCACTACGTTTCTGCTTTTGCTGTGATTAACTGTATTTACAGTGCATTCGCTCTTAGCAAGGCTCTGAGCACCAATTTCAACAACACACATTCAGGCTCAAGCTGAGTTCCCTGCCTGCCAGCCAGCCAGCGGGCGGAGCCACCCTTCCTAAAGACTGATGGAACACAACTTCCTGTTGGCGGAGAATATGATGGGCTGAGACCTCCAGGACAGCGGAGAGCACAGCAAGTGGGAGCAGGGCGTGGGGCGAGTTAGAGACAGACGCAAGCTCAGAAAACACAATTCCTTTCGGCTTGGGTCTAATTTCAAACATCTACGAAAAACAGCTTTGGAGAAATTAGCTTTGAAAATTAAAAATATTTTTAGAGTTGGAAATCCTAAAAAAAAAAAAGCTATACTTTTTGAAACAATCACGAAAGATACACTCTCTATTTAAGGCATATTTTTAACGGATTTCATCAGGTGACTCAGGGCCCCTTACATTACGCACACACTCATTTTGCATTCGCCCTTAAGTTCCTTCTCTTTAATGCTTCAGGTAAGTAACATGACTTACTAGCAAGATACAAGAGAAAACGCAGGACTAAATCAATCGCAGTCCCACACATAGACAGTCTACCTCCATCAACACTACTGAACACACATCCAAATCAGTCATTGATCAAAAGTACCATAATTGTAACTCATGTCTAATCACCCCTGAGTAGAAAGAATCGAGAGAGAATTGACGGGGTTCAACATCACTTACGTTGTTCAAAAATGCCGGAGGGCCTGGGACCGGTGGGTCGCACTGCATCTGTCCCACCAGGGTGTGTGCAGGTCCTGGCTGGCACTGGTACATCGACACAGCCCCAGCATAACACGCCTGAGGAGTTACCATGGCTGACTGTGGATTCACTGCACCCAGGTGTCCATCAGGAGCTTGTAAACAAGTGACAAAATCTTCTAGGTTCGAGGTACTTGGGTAGGAGGATGAGTCAAAACTCCCCATAGGCAAGTCCAACTGAGCATGCTTGTGCTGTGGCGGGGCCGCCTGATCACAAGGAACAAAGTTCTGTGTGTAAGGCACAGCATGCACCTCCGACGTGTAGGGAAACGTCTGGTCTGCTGTGCGCACGTCTGTGAAGATGTCGTAGGACTGCAGGTCTCGCTGGGCACAGGTGAAAGGCAGCGGCTGGTTAGCACCCCAGTTGGCGAACATGCTGTTGACTTGCATGTGTTCCAATTTCTGGCACAGCTGTTGCTGTGGCTCCACTACCACCTGCTCCGGGGGACACGGTGGCTGTGGGGGCTGTCCGAGCTGTGGGTGTCCCTGCACCATGCAGCTTGAGTTGAGGGCTGCGGCGGGCGGAGGCTGGTAACCTGGGCTCACCAAGGGGGACTTGTTGAGAGACTCCTGGACGAACGTCAGGATCTCATCGGTTATGTCAATGTCTCCGAAGTCCACCTCTGCAGGAAGGTCAGTGCCGAAAAACTCCTCGTTCTGCATGTGCTTGAAATCTTCAAAGTCTACACCAAGGCTCCTCATAATGTTGTACAACTCACTGTTTTTATTATCTGGCAAGAGCCCCGGGGGACCTCCCGAGAATGCGTGGTTTGCTTCCTGAGACTGACCAACCTGCTCGTGTTTCAGGACACTGCCACTGCCCACAGATGTAATGCTGCCCTGCCAGTTTCTGCATTCGCTCAGAGGGTCCGTAAAAAAGCTCCTCTCAAAAGGCGCTGAACTCGAAGGAGGGTAGAGGTAAACAGACTCATCCTGCTGCATCAGGGCACACAGGAGGGAGCTGGGGTGGAGAGAATCCTTGCTCGGAGTCAGCTTGGTAGCTGGGTCCTTCCCACCTGCGCCACTTTGAGTCCTTATTGGCAGGGGATCCATGATGGGAGGAAAAGGGCTGGTCACCTCATACAGCACAGCTTCGCCAGTGGCGAACATGAAAGGCAACTTCAAATTTCGTTTTCGTAAATGCTCTCTGCCTTCTTCGTCTCTAAAGATGGGAACAAGAAAGTCTACATATGTTAGAAATTTCATCTCCCCAAATTTTTAAAAATATTTTGGGCGCACACATCCCATTCCGGAGTGCCTGGGGGCATGCCCACACTCACAGCTCTTTCCTGTAGTTCCACCCGCATGTCAATGCACCTGCAGCAGCAGCAGAGGATGGAGTTATGCACATGTGCTGCTGCCTCCCACCTGAGAGACCGGGATGGAGTCTCTGGCCCTGGCTTCTGCCTGGTCCTGCCTTGGCTATAGAAGCCTTTCTCAGGATTAAATTAGTAGACAGAAGAACTCTGTGTCTCTGCCTTTCAAACACATACAAAGAAGCAAATAAACATATTTTTAAATGATTTGACTTTTTTTCCCAAAAACTTAGTACAGAAGTTGATTCCATGCTCAGGTGACATATCACCTGACATCCTGCATTAAAAATTAATTTATGTGGACTACAGATCTAAATATAAGGGCTGACACAGTGGCTCAGCAGGCTAATCCTCCACTTTGCTGTGCTGGCATCCCACATGGATTCCGGTTCCAGTCCAAGCTGGTCCTCTTCCGATCCAGTTTTCTATTCGTGGCCTGGGAGAAGAGCAGAGCACGGCCCTAGTCTTAGGCTCCTGCCCTCACATGGGAGATGCAGAAGAGCTCCTGGTTCCTGGTTAGCTCAGCTCCAGCCACTGTGGTTAACAGTGAACCAGAAGATGAAAAATCTTTCTCTTGGTAAATCTGCCTTGCAAAATAAAAACAAAATTTATGAAAAAAAAATCTGAACATAAGAACAAATGATTAGGTTAAATTGATTCCTTAATATTTTTCACTTATTCTTGTGGCTATGGTAAACTGGTTCTTTTCCTGATTTATCTTTCAGTGAATTCATCATTAGCATTTAAGAAAGGAAGATGAGGAGACAAGCTTCAGATACACACCAAGCTGAGGGGCTCGATGGAAAGGATCACTGGCAAGACAACAGCTACAACTCTGATTTCTTGTAAAATATTTCACAGATTACTAAACAAGGCATGGAGAAAATATCTGTAACCTACACATGCAACAATCACTCTGTGAGCACTGTCCTACTTTCGTCAGTAGGACAGAAGATCACTGATACTTTAAAAGGCCAGTTGATTAAAACAAAAGATAGAGGAAGATATAAAGAAGTGCCCTGTGTTACTAAAATGAAAGAGCAAGCACACAACATGAACAAACGTAGAACACAAAGAGTCCAATGAACCAACTAGACCACGAACATGGGGAGGACACCAAACTCCCGGGCGACAGAACACGCATCATTGCATGAGCACTTGGGCCATTTCACTGACACTGCCTGTGTTTTATCACCAAATGAACCACCAAGCATTTCAGAAAAGGCTCTGACAACAATAGGAACAAGCTGTTCGTTACTGCACAATGAGAACAATCCTTAACCCCAAAAGCACAGTAACAGCACAGGTCTACACGGTTTATGATTAGAAAGGAAAGCTTGCAAATATTCTGAATCGTAAAAATAAGATGTATTAAATATAAGAACTGTGGTTAAAGCTATACTTAAAATAGTATGCATACTTTATTTAAATATATATTAAAGCAGAATAAGTCGGAAGAAAAATTCATTTTCACCAAAGAAAGTACAAAGCAAAAAATAATGAGCTAACATTAGGATCCTGGAAGAGACTCTTGAGTCAATGAGCTCCCAACATGACTGCTCAGGGGGAGGACGCAGCTGTGCACCTGCCCACCACCACAGCTCACACAGGTGCATCCAGCATCCATCACCAGGATCCTGGCTTTGAACATCTGGCATTACAACGATGTTCCTTCTTCCTAGTGATCTACACTTTCAAGAAAATTCCATTCAAATCCCAACCAGTTTCCACTGATTTCTAAACTCTATTTGTAAACACACCCAGGAAAGAAGAGGCAAGGTCATATTGAAGACAGAACAAGAGCTAAACAAACCAAACGAAGATGTGCACTTGGATATCAAAGTTTACAATACAGTAATAAAGACAATGTGAGGGTTCCAAACAGACGACTTCAAAAGACTCTCCAAGCAGAACCCAGCACAATTCCCTTGATCAAAATATTTTGCAGTGGAGTAAGAGCATTTGCGAGTGTCTTTTAAATAAACCTGATTGGCCAAATAAGTATACATCAAAGGGGTAAAAACCAACTCTGATCTCATCTCAAGCCAGACACAAGAAACGAGTTGCCAGACTGGGAGAAGATATTTACAATACAAATAATTGACAAAGGACTCATTTACAGGATATATATAGAAATTTCTCCCAAATCAGTGCTGGACTTAGCACACGTGATTGTAACAAAGCACTGGGGTCTTTAATTTTTATTTTCCAGACGGCACAGGCTTCTCATCTCTTCACAGGCCAAGGATGAACCTAGGAGCTACCCGTGGTTCCACCGCGTGTGTAGTTGCCTGGCAGAAACTGTCTGTCCCATCTTCTCAGTGCCTCTCACTGAGGTCCTTTCCTTTCTCTGAATATTTATGTTACTTTAATCTCCATTTTCAGACTCAATTTTCCTAAAATTACCTTTAAGTTTTCATGTAAGAGGACCTATTAATCAAATGTCCTTACAGTGAAAAAGGGCATCAGGAGACATTCTGAGTTTGTGCTTACGTTAGGGGTCTCTGAGTTGCGATGATAAAATCTGGTCTTCCATTCTTATAGATAAAGCGTGCATTAGACTGGACCCAGGTCCATCGATTATCTTTCGTAAGAAGCCTGAAAACTGCTAGGCCACTTTCTCCTGTCTTAATCACTAAAAAGAAAAGAAAATTACAAAATTAAATGATCAAACTCCTCATGAACATTTTAAAGAACAATTCTGACGTATTTCTGCATGCCTCTATCACCAAACAGGCTACCATCTTGACAGTTTTGAATACAGTATGTTGAAAATCATAAAAACTGCTCCTCAAGGTTGTTTTTTCCTATTGTACACTACATTATTTGAGATGTTAAAGGGAAGGTTAAGTACCAGCCAGGCAATTCTGATCACATATGGCAGATAACCTGTTTTCATTTGAAACACAGCTCTGGTTTTCTACAGTTCAGAACTTCACAATTTTGAAGTTTAACACAGATTACTCAATGAACATGGCATGATTAATGAAGTTCCAAGCCAAACCGTTGAGCAACGTGGTCGTTTCTGCAGTAATTCACCTACTGCATTTAGTAAAGGAGATGAGGCACAGAGAATGGAACTTGGATCAACTGGAACGGCACGGCCTGAGCAGGAAGTTCAGCCAAGCAGTCTCCCTGCACACCTTTGGGGAATACCTTGGCACGTGCTTACGGGGAGCCCCGACTTACTCCGGACATGGGACTCGGCACAGTACAGCATGTCAGCAGCGTGGATAAACTGATACCCAGACCCTCTCATGCACAGCTCGGCCTCCGTGTAGCCCAGGACAATCTGGCCTCTGTGGGACAACAGGGAAAAACACGCAATCAGAATCCAGTCCATCCAAAAAAAAAAAAATCCACCAATTATTGTCCTTCCTTAAATGTTTTGCTTCATTAAATTCACTGTTTCACATGATAAGGTGCAGAGATCTACTATGTTTGTTTTGAATTGTGCCCTTTTACTCATAGATACAAATTTCAGTTTTAGATTATTTTCTCCTGAATAAAACTTTGAAATTTGGATGACCTCTCAGAGCAGACTGCACATGTGAAACAAAACCATTCATAAATATCTAGAATGCTAAGTTCCTTTTTTGGCAGCAGACATGTTCAGCTCACCTTTCTGAATTCTGAAGAGAGCAGAAAGCACTGACTCACTTGTATGGGGTACCACGGTTCACTCCTACACTACTGCCATCATTTTCTGAAAACTACTAAGTCTTCAGGGCATAATTTAAAGTGTAAAAAAAAAATAGTAATAAGTGTAATTGGAAGAATGAGCCTTATTAATACAAGCCCATTTCTTTATGGCAAGTGTTCTAAGAATTACAAAACAGTTTACATAACCAGTGAGCCTAAGTAAATATTTTATTTTAAAAATATGCACTGAAAGAATATGCAATGAAATAGTTAATATAGCAATATTATCACCTATACACATGTTTTACGTGTTGAGAGAGACTTACTAAAACAACATACTTGGATGAAATAAAAGCGAAAACTTCTACTTACTTAGCATCACAGCCAGTAGGTGTGAAGTCTAGCTTGTGTTTGGTTCTAAAGATGAAATTTTTGGTTCGGATTTCAAGGATGGATGGTGGCTGAAGGGGAGTAGCTATGGCAAACAAAGCCAGCTGGGGTGGAAGCACTGAGCCATCCTTTCCTTTTTTGTTCTGTCCGTGAAGATATTTTAGCCTCCCCTGGAAGTTCATCGCCTTAAAAAAAAAAAAAACACACACACAACCAAACAAGACCATTCACCAACACTGAAGGGCTGCATCGTGGCTGTTCTGAGGGTTCCTGGTAATTCCATTGAAGTTACTAAGACCGAGAACGGCTGCTCCTCTCTCTGCAGAGCTCTGCTAGGATGATGGCCAATGGCAGTGTGAGGAATGAACCAAAGGTACCGGAAAGAGAACTACTCATTGCTTCCAATGGTCCTAACGGAGTCCAGCAATCACTCTCTGAGCACTAATTTCCCCAGCAATCTCATCCAGCTCCTGTACACTAAGCACTCGATATGCACTTCCTGAGTAAATGAGCAGTGATGAAGTAATCAAGTGTGTATTAATTTTGGGCTTGCATGAGCCATGTACCACAACTCATAATGATCTTTCCTATAAGGGAAAAAACCACAGCTTTAATAAAACACTTAAATGAATCATTATGAAATCAAATAAAGAGTAAAGAGCTGTGATAGAAAAAAAATCTACAATTTTAGAAAGCAGGAAGACACGGTAAGCATGAACACAGTCCATTTGCTTGATTAAAATGACATCAGCCAGAAGGGATGAGTCTGACACAGGAAGAAAACATCCTACAGCACACGGAGCCATCTCAGAGCTGCTACAGCTGACCTGGGCACCACTTCCGGGAAGATTAGCCCAAGCTCAACTTCACCTGTGGGCTGGTACAGCTAACTTCAGAAATAAACATACAAGCAAACAATGATGCTTGGAAATGCCACATCTGAAATTTTGGTTCTCTGTTTAGGTTTCCAGAGAATTCACAAAAGGAACATGCAAATACAGCCTGTGTAGAAGGGCCTCCTGTCCCCCTGGACTCAGAAGACCTAAGCAGACAGTCAGGACAGCAGATTCTTCCACTCCAGCACCCGACCCAAGCCCCTGGTGCCACGCAGCCAGGTGATGAACCAGTGCAGCGAGAGACACACCTGATGTCACATAAAGACTGCAGGCATGAATATACAACCATGTTCTGGACACATACCAAACAGCACAAATTTCTCACGTAGCAGACATTAAAATAAAGATGCTACACATACTCCTGTTAAAAAAAAAAGGCTAGGATGGGTCCATAGTGGTAGCCTAGTGGTTAAAGTCCACACCTTGCACACACCAGTATACCATACGGGTGCCAGTTCTAACCCAGGTGGACCTGCTTCCCATCCAGCTCCCTGCCTGTAGGCTAGAAAAGCAGTCGAAGATGGCCCAAGGCTTTAGGACCCTGCACACACGTGGGAGACCTGGAAGAGGCTCCTGGCTCCTGGCTTGGGATCAGCTCAGCTCTGGCCATTGTGGCTAATTGGGGACTGAATCAATGGATGGATCTTCCTCTTTGTTTCTCCTCCTCTCTGTATATCTGACTTTCCAAAAAATAAATAAATAAATCTTCAAAAAAAAAAAGGCTAGGGCTGTGGTGGCTCTATAGGCTAACCCTCCATCTGCAAGTGCCAGCAACCCATATGGGCACTAGTTCATGTCCTGGCTGCTTCCACTTCCAATCCAGCTTCCTGCTTATGACCTTGGAAAGTAGTAGAGGATGGCCCAAAGCCTTTGGACTCCGCACCCACATGGGAGACCTAGAACAAGTTCCTGGATCTTGGCTTTGGATTGGCTGAATTCCAGCTGTCGCAGCCATTTGGGGAGTGAAGAAGCAGATCGAAGATGTCTCTCTTTCCTATTCTCGACAAATCTGCCTTTCAAACAAAAATACATCTAAAAAACAAACTAAATAATGTGCCAGTTTCATTCTATAAAGTTCCAAACTCCAAGGCTCGATGTCATTTCAGTCTTTGTTGTGGCTCTAAAGGACAGGGTCTTCTGAATTCTGGGAACGCTCAGGATCTGCACTAATGTTTATGAAGTCACTTTTCTTTACAAGTGTCCTGCACAGAAACCACTATTCACAAGGCTATGGTGTTGTATGGTGAGCCTGCACCCTAGCGTTGACCCTCTAGCAAAGATGTCCACACTTCTTTTACATTATTTTGTTCACAGAATGTAAACAAGAGGAGGGTGGGCTGGGAAGAATCACTATACTTCTAAATCTGCACTTATGGAATTTCTACACCCTATGTGAATACGATAGATTTTAAAAACAGAAATATCTCATCTAAGAAAGCTGGCTTCCCTGGATTTTCCTGTCTTCCCCCCACAGTGAAAGCGGCATGCTGACACTGTGCACCTTACCAGGAACCCTGAGGAGTTATCCAGCAGACACCTCAGCCGGCATATGAAGCACCTCTCCATGAAGGACGAGTTTTCTGGGGGAAGCTGGTCTGGGCTGTAATAGACTGGCTGAGCGAGAGCATGAGTTTCTGTAGATAAAAAAAACATTACAAGTTTTTCTTTCACTTGGCTTAAAATGTTAATTTCTAAGAAATAACTGTATTATGAAAAATCTAAATTTTTTCCCAACCATCCAATAAAACCTGACAACTGCATTATCTTTCTGGCATAGAACTTTAGTTTCTGTCTATCCTGAGCTATCACCAACAGCAATTTCCATGTTTTCTAACATCTTCTGCTTGGTTAACACTTTCTCCGGTTTCTGAGAACACTTCTGTAACGGGAAGCTTTCTTGCACTTGCACATGTTAGTAGACTGATTTGGGATACTGTACACAGAAGGTCTACTCACACCCCAGCATCTCCCTCGTGCCTGCCTTCCACGGTTCATGAGGTTTACAGTCCTTGTGTAACATCTACTGACACCTTGTGACATCAAAATGTCACTTCAGTTAACCAGGCTCCTTGTGACCTGGCTGGGGCTACAGACTCACGCCTTTCCACTCTTCCTAATGCCAGCCTGGGGCTCTATGCCCTAAAGAGCCATCAACACCATCTTTTGCAAGATGTTCTTACCATCAGCGCCCTGTCCAGGGTCTGTGCCAGATGAAGGGTTTAACGCCCAGTGTAGCTGACGCTGGAATTCAGCCCGGTCCTCGGTATGGATAAGTTCATACACACTCTGATGTATGACATCAGACTAAAGAAAAAAGATGCAAGACAATGAAACAGGAGCCTGGATTAAAGAAGCACATGGCTTACTAGGCATTTTTAAAGTTAGGAGTCTATTTCAAACAATTAGTTTATAATTCTGAATCTGCATGCCTAAATAATTCTGAGATTTCCTGCCTTCTACCTCATCTCAAAGTATTGAGGAGGGAAAATCCAGATACCAATAGTTAAAAACAGTTGTTTTTGGAACTAAAAACAAACACCTGTGATGTGTACAGTTGCATGATTTTGTTTCTTTTTATTAGTATTTTCCATAATAGGTTTTGTAGGTAGAAGGAGTTCCCCCTTCCACCTCCTCTTCCTCCCGTCCCATTCTTCCCTCCACACTACCCCACCCATTATTATAGTAGTATATTCCTTTAGCCACAGTCACAAGCCCAACATCCTGGTACTGAAGCATTTCATGGAATTGCAGTGTCAGGCAATGGTAAAAAACCTAGCATCCGACTGTCAAGGAATATTTCGAGGTTTCATTGGGATTCCTCCTTGTATTCCGGAGTAGAGATGCCTGCTGCGACGTATCTTCACTTCCCAGTATGCTAGTCTCCATGTACATTTCATCCATGAGAATAGGTGTTTATACACGTTTCCCTATACATCTTTTGTTTTCTATTTTGCATAAAGTTTGCTTTATCACAGAGAGAATATACGGTATTTGTCCTTTTGGAATTGACATATTTCTCTGAGCATAATGGTCTCTTATTGAGACCATGTGGGTACAAATGACAGAATTTCATTCTTTTTAATAGCTGACAGCAGCCTACGGAGTAGATGCACCACAGTGTCTTTATCCATTCCTCTTTCAACAGCATCTCAGTTGTTTCCATGTCTTTGCTAGTGTGGCTAATTCTGGTGTGAATAATATAGGGCTGCATGTCTCTTTCTCATATACAGATTTCACTTCCTTTGAATATAATCACAGGAGTGAGACAGTTGAGTCATACAGTAGATCAATTTTCAACTGTCTTTGCATTCTGCATACTGACTTCCGTAGTGGATTATCTAGCCTACATTCCCACTAACAGTGAAACAGGGTACCTTTCTCCTCACATCCATGTCAGCAGATTTCTGAATGTAAGCCAATCTCACTGAGGTAGAAAAGTCCTTTTGTTCTATTGCCTTGGTGAGCTCTGTTGTTTCCTTGCTTAGTTTCTATCACATTGATCTGTACATTGAAGTCAGTGGGGTGCTAAGGTCCACTCTATTATTGTATTGGAGTCTATTTCTTGCTTTGAATTTGTTAATACTTGTTTCAGGCAGCTAGATGTCCTGTCATTAGGTGCATATGCATTTATTATTACAATTCCTTCTTACAAATGTATCCTTTATCATTAGGTAATGGTCTTCTTTCTTCATCTCCTAATAGTTTTCATGCTAAAATGTACAGTATGTTATTAGAATGGAATATATTTTTCACTCATTTCACTTTGTTTCCACAGATCTTTGTTGGTGAGATGCGTCTCCTGTAGGCAACAGATAGATGGATCCTGTTTTTGATCCAGCTTGCTGATATATTCATTTTGACTGATGTGTTTAAGTCAGTTACAGTCAGTGTTAATATCAACAAGTAGTGATTTGATCCTGTCATGTCAGCATTGGGTTTCTTATTGCTTAGGTTTGTTCTGTGGTTTACTAAGATGCCCTCCATGTTTGACTTAGGCCTTGGTAGGTGATCTTTTTTCTGTGTGTAGCATATCTTTAAGCAACATATGTAGGTCAGGTACGGGAGACATAGTCTTTCAGTTTTTGTTTGCTTTGGAAGTTTCATTTTCAAACACAAGGGAAAACTTTGGTGGGCTATTATTTTACTCGTTTGTTTCTTTTAGGATCTAGAACACATCATTCCAGTCTCTTCTGGCCTGTAGGGTTTCCTCTTAGAGTTCAACAGCGAGTCTGACTGGAGTTCCTCTATAAGTTAATTGACACTTCTTCTGTAACTTTAAAGTTCAGCCATCTGATGGTGCCACTTAATTTTTGAATGCCTTATAAAAATTTACTCAGCTCCTTTTCCAGCTTTCTGTTTCAGTATTTTTGTAGGAGCTATCTTCCAGTTTTAAGATAGTTTCTTCTGCCTCATTTACTCTATTACTGAGGTTATATTCTTCATTTGTAATAATTCAGTTTGATTTTATTTCAATATTGCTATTTCCTGTGTCACATATTCCGTAAATTCCTTCTCAGTATTTTTAAGGAGTTTTATAGTGATTTTTGAAAATTCTTTCTCTGCTAGCTCCTCAATGTCTTTGTCAGTTAATTCTGAGCTTGAAATAGTCTTTTGCTCCTTGCAGGGAGGTGTCAGTAAGCTCATTCATTGTGCCTATGCCTCTTCTTTTTCTCTTGGCTGCTGCACTCTGATTAGTAAATTCTTCTTCTTGGAGCCAGTTTCTAAGCTGTGTCATCACAGGTCTACAGTTGAATGTTACTGATCCGGTTCACTGCCTGGCTTTCTGTCTCCTCGCACCACTCCCTCTGACGAGTTTCAGTTCTAGGCTTCCATGCTTCTGCCATGTCTCCCAGGCCTCCACTCTGCCCTCTGAGAGCCCATGTTGTGGCCACACCATTGCCTGCTCAGTCTGATACTCACAGTTCCAGCAAAACCCATGATTAGGGAAACACCAGCTGTGACTTTCATCCAGATCACAGGGCTGCCAGCAATCCTGTTGCATGGATTTTTTTTTTTCTTCCCTCTTGCTGGAACCTGTTGGCAGCTAAACCTGAGGGCAACCCAAACCTATTTTAGATGGAACTCCTGAGATGTCAAATTGGTATTTTCGTGGTGGCATCTGTGCAATGCAGTGAGCCAGAAGTGAGCTCTCCTGTGGCTTAGTGCATGCGTACCTTGCTGTTGTCTCCCACCTGGAGCTTTGCTGCACTGGTGGGAGTCTGTGCTATGAAATCCACCATTTTCCCACATGGGTATGACAGAGCTTCCTTACTGTTTCTGTGTGACTGGATCAACAGAATCAGTAGGGCCTGCAATTCCATGGCTAGGCTTACCTTCTGAGTTCTCAGTGAATTCTCCTTCCCACCTGACTGCTGGTGGAGCTACAATGGCCTTTGGGGTGTCTATTCACTGCAGTGTTGCTCCAAGGTCTCTGCTGTTTTCCTGTCTCCACAGGTCTCAGGGTGTTCCTCTGCCATCAGCCTGCCCTCCCATATTTCCCAGGATCGTGTCCTCTCTGTGTCTCCTGGGCTAATCCTTGTATGTCCATCACAAAGTGTCTTTACATTATTCCGCCATCTTGCCTCCCCCTGACACTGTTCCTTCTAAAGTCTCTTAACATTTATCTGGCTTAGTGGGTGCCAGTTAGTGGTGAAGAATTATGATGCCAAAACTGCCTGTCACCAAAGATGGGGAACAAGTGCTTGAATGAGCGCCTACTTGTCATCAATTCACAAAGGGAATGTTATCGTCCAACAGCCATTGTCTGTAATTTTCACATAGTATATCAGGTTCTAATTATGTTCCATATCCATTTATTGATTCTTTAAACCATACTCCTTCCATGACATTACAGTGCCCTGTGACTTTTCTGAGCTTCCCTCATCACACAGTTCCTTCACGGTCTCTCACGGTTTTCTCCCCAAGTAGGATCTGTAGGAATAAGGGATCCTTCACCAGATCAAAGTCCTGCCCTTCTTCTTGCTTCTAAGTGTTTATCACAGGGCTGAGCCCTTTGCTTTGAAACTAGAATTTTTCTAACTGCTTTAATATTGTTTAAATGTTAAACTCTCTCCTGTTTCTGATATGACTATTTTCTTAAACATTCTCTTACTCATTCTATGCGAATGTGTGAGAAAAAAAGAGAATGGAAAATGGCTATTTTTCCAATTTTGCAACAGTTTTAAATCGCATGATATTATGAATAACATAGCTATGTAATTCATTAAAATTCAAGGTTTTCCTATGACATCAATGTACTTTCTTTCAAATGCATGAACACTGAAATTGAGATCCTGTGCCAATATCAAGGTTCCATTGTATCTCTCCAAAATCTTAACCTTCTCCCATGAAGCCAATTCTATGGCACCCAATACACAGCACCAGAACTATCTTCTGAGTCACATATTGCAGCATGCACTGTGCCTGGTTTCTACTGTGTAAGTGGAAAACAATCTCTCTCCTTGTCAGGCAGACAGTGCTCGTAACACCTGCAGTCTGTGTGCGTGTCTGAAGTCCAGGGCCAAGCCTCAGTCAGCCCTCCTAAAGCAGAGCAGCCCAGAACCTGGGAGCGCTTCAGGCAATTCTTCATGCACACCTTGGCTTGAGAACCAGATCGAAGAATGACAAACACTCAAGTGTATTTCCACCCATTCTCAAATTATCTCATATGTTCTTTCCCCTCAGATTAGCCAAAAACATTGAAATTTAATGCATTTGCAGGTGTTTACTGATGTCAACATAAAACATTGGCTTCCTTCAAGGACCCAGTCCACTACACACAGGGCTTCGCTCTCCCTCCTCCATTCCGCTTCTACACTCTCCTGGTCAGTTTAAGCATCATTTCATGCAACTACTTTTCCTATTCCACATAAATCAGAATTACAGATCCAAACAGGGATTTTGTTAGCATTGCTTCTTGGTGTTTCATTCATTTCATGGCTGTTCTCAGTCCTTGGCAATCTACAAGTTACCCATGTTTTTCTCAGCTTTTCTAAACTCTACCTGAAAGCTCCTGACATATGGTAATTAATCAATCTTAGATGATCAATGTAAGAACATTAATATACTTACATATAATTATTAATTATAACATTAGTTAATACAATAACAATGACCGATGCAGATTTACAGAAATCACACAATTGTATATGTTGCTCTAAGAAAAAATCTATTGGCTGCAAAGATAATTTTATATTCTATGGCATATACATTTTACCCGATACTTTCTTTACATATTTGAATGGTTAAGTCTGTCCTTAAAGTATACATTATATACTACTATTTTAGAAAGTTTTACTTTTGACTGATATCGTAGAAAAAGTATTTACCTGCTGAAACCCCAGGTAATCTTGTATAGTAGAAGAAGCATAAAAGACCAAAGCATCTACGGTGACAACCAGCACGAAACCATTCAGTGCCTACAGTAAGAAGGTCACAAAGTTAGCAGTGTGACAATGATAAGCAAAAATAGCCGACTATATCTATGAAAAATCATCCTGGTACAATGATCCGGACGATTACACCTCATAGCCGGACATGCCACATACTCCTGGGGTGAGAAAATGTGAATACATTTCACTCCTGTTTGGCTGAAGAACAACCCAACTGGGGTAGGCATTCCAACTAGTGGTTACTCCTGGTTAAGATGCCCAGTGCTGTATCAGAGAGCCTGCGTGTTACGTCTTAGGACACTCCTGATTCTGTGTCTGGCTGGTGCAGACTCTGGGAGGCCCCTGGGGTGGGTCAGGTGTGTAAGTTCCTGGCACCCCCACTGTGGTCCTGGGCTGAGCTCCAGCTGCTGTAGACATGTGTAGACAGACACTTCACACACTGATGCAATGTGAGACTCAGCCTCAAGTTACTCTGAAACATTTTAATACTTAATAGAAACCATACTATGAACACATACATATTTGTGCAATTCAAATGTACATGCAAAACATGAGCAAACAAATCCTCTCATTAATATCTAATACAATTACTAATAGTATATGTAGCTTTCCATCTATCTGGCTATCTGTGCTAATTCTTTATTCCATCTGAAACATGATTCTTTTTCTTTCCCTTTTGCCTGCTTTGGGTCAGTTATCTTTTTCTGTATCTTTTCTTCCTTTACTTTGAAAGTTATACTTTCTTTTTCTACTTTTTTTCCAGCAGTTATTCCAGTTAGTGTCAATGGCCCTTTGCTCCTCTTGGGTCATACCCAGACACGAGGCCACCTTCAGTGTTTATTGTTACATGTTTCATTTCTACAGGAACTCACTGTTTCCTGCTGGAGTTTATTTTGGTCCTGGATCTATCCTATACAGTGTGATCACTGCTCAACCTTTCCGAGACTGATTTTTCAATAAACGGAGGAAAGAGTATCATCAGATTTGGCTCGGACTCCTACCCCTGTCTCTTACAAGCTATGTGGCCTTAGGTAGCATTTTAACCCTTTGGGTTTTAGTGTCACTATAAAAAAAAAAAAAACAACTCTCACTTTCAGAGGTGGCCAATGACTGCTCTCACTCAGTGCCCAGTTCAGAACTGGCACACCACATGGTAAGGCACACTGCTGTAAGTATGTACAAATGAGCAAAAATGGGTTCATGTGATACTGCTGTGAGAATTATAGAGACACACAAGTAGTACTTGGTGTGTCACACTTAATAACCTAGAGCACAGGTGAGAGCCAGGCTCTGGGAGTCAGGAAGACTGGCCCAGGCTCAGCATCCCAGTGAGCACCTGCACTGCTGCTGATGCAAATGAACTACAGGATTCTCTCGACCTCCCTGCTGCACTGCTGGGTTCTCTGCTGCAGGTGACATTTCCATGGACTTGACAACAAACAGAACAGCTATTATTTACCAATCTTTCTGCTAGATGGATCAGTGCATCATGAGGCTGAACTCTCCCACCACTCAGTGAAGCAGAATCCTAACCAGTTTCGTAATATGAGGTCAGTAACACAGACAATGTGCTCTGCGATCTCAGGAGGCCCATTCAGGGCAGCTTGGTGACCAAGGCTGACCACCACTGCTGCCTCTCCCAGAACGCAAGGTATGGGCCCTTTATCCAAACCTGCACTCTCGGGTTACTGACTGCAGAGAGTGTATGTATTACATGGAGATTTCACCCGGAGAAATAATAGTGATTATACACATCAGGAAGTTAGATATTTAACAATAAATACAGCAAAAATAAGCATCAGCAACAGTAATGCCCATCATTGTATTATTTCCCACAGAAAACATCTTTATCTACAGATTACTGTTAATTGATCAAGTTCATATTATTTGGGGAAGCTTTTTCAATCTACTAAAAAAAATGCATTGTAGTAAACTGGTATGTGGCAGAATACAAAAGAACAGCTTAAGAAACCATATCAAATCCCTTTAGAAAAATGCTAATTGTTACAAACAAAACCAAAAGCTAAAAAAAGTTGCATGTTGCTTTTAATACACCAATGCATTTTAAATATCATCTTAGATTTTAAGAACTCAAGATGATCCTGAATGTAATAAAAATTATGTTGAATTACCTTAATAAATTAATAAAAGGAATTAAAACAGTAATTTGATATTAAAAGGGATTATAATTCTTCTAATCGCAACATTTCCTCTTTTATCTAAAATCATGTTCATGTTCCCTTACTTTTTAATACACAAGAAGAAAATTACAATGTTGTTACTTCTAATTCCATCTGCTTTACTGAACAACTGAAGCTTCAGTTTTACACTAAGCACAGCACTGACACATTAAGTCCCAAGTTCTCAGTTCTGTGAATATTACAATGATACTATTTATTCCAAACCTAGCCCAAGAGGCACATTTTACGATTTTATAGGTGTCCTACACACAGGGAGATAGGACATGATCAAACAACACCAGTTAGAACGTGCCTAAAATGCATGAAATAATGTATGAAATAATGTTGTTAATGGAATGTTTACACATGTTCATTATTGGTTAGCGGCAAAGAGGGATGCACTTCTGGCTTAGTGGGGAAGATGCTGTTTGGAATGCCCTCACCCCATGTCAGAGTACCGGGGTTCAGGTCTCAGCTGTGCTTCTGACCCAACTTCATGCTAACGCGCATCCAAAGAGGGGGCATGGACCTGGTCCTCAGGTTCCTGCCACCCACCTGGCAGACCCACACTGAGTTCTGGCTCCTGGCTTTGCTGAGCCCAGACTGTAGCAAGCATTTGGGGGAGTGAACCAGTGGGTGGACGATCTCCTTCTCTGTCTCCCTTTCAAGTAAAATGAGAATGAACGAACAAAAAGCAAAGGAAAAGATTCCTTAGCACAAGTTCCCAGCCACATGGCACACTAAACTATTAACATCTTCCACAATAGAGTGGTAACTGGCTGGAAGCTACAGGTAGATAATACAGCCAGATGCTATTAAGACAACTGTGTATCATGAAATGTGCCCTTTCCTCATGTCTGTAGTATTTTCAGCTGCCTTCCTCATGAAGGGATAACAGATGAGCATGGTCCTAAGCCAGTCACACAGCATGGGATGCTTCCTTTTAAGGGTGGTCTACAAGTGGTATCCAACATGATTCAAACAGGTGGGTTTACTTTATTCCTCTGAGAGAGAGACAGATGGAAGGTCACACTATCTGGTTTACTCCTCACAGGTCTGCACCTGTCAGACCAGGTTGAGTCTGGACACCAGGACCACCTTCCTGGCCTCCCCTGTGCACGGCAGGAACCCAACCCCCTGAGTCATCCCTCTTGCCTCCCGGGGTCTGCATCAGCAGGACGCAGTCGGGAGCAGAACGAGGAGAACAAACCCAAGCACTCCGAGGGCAGTCCTCAGATGTCCTGATCGGCGTCGTCACTGAAAGCCAAATGACACCCATCCCAAGGTGGGTGCTATAAGTACCTGAAGATTTGCAATTTCCAGATAATTTAAAGTCTTTTACAAACCCTAGCTTAGTATTAACAGTTTTTACTCTGAATCATTGACAAAAAATACGTATATAATTTGTCTAAGTCACTGGCCCGCAATTTATCAAATGTTACATCCATCAACTTATATCTTTCTATTTTCACTTGAAATAGAGGATTTCATGATCACTTGACCACATAACCCAAGAAGTGTAAACAACAAATAGCAATCATTAGAATTATTCCTATGAGCTGAATATACAGTTGTGATGTGTTTGTTAATGTGTACAAAAAATTCTCAACTGAGGCTAACACTCTTGCTTGAATTCAGTCATTTTTTTTTAAACATAGAAATAGTTAATTTCTTCTATATGGAGTCTGAACATAATTACCGAATCATAGTAAAAATGTCAAAAATTGTTAGTCTGAACTCCGATGTTTACTGAAAGAATTAATGGAGCTATTAAAACTTGTGATTACTTCTTTCAACCTTCTTTTCAACAAAATAAGTATCTGAAAATGTAACATTACAATCCTAGTGTTAGTTGCCGGAGAACAAGAAACAACTCTCCAAGTTCTGCAAATATATAGGGCTTACAGTTGTTGAGAAAAATCTATTAGTCTATTAAAGGGAAATGTATTATAGCATACCAAGGAAAATTCTGATTAAAAAAGATGAGACTATTTCAACTGAGCTGCATTCCTGCATAAAGTGTGTGTAAGTCCAATATCTTAACTGGGAGCTGTTACTAATCTAACAGTTCTTGAACAAGTACAACAGGATGCAATTGGGCTCCTAGTTAATATACTTCATATAATGCAAGTGATTTTTTTCACATTCCATCTTTAAGGTAACTTACATAAAGGTGAACTTTTCTGTTCACTTACTAAAACTTACCTGAAGTAAGAATTCTCCTTCTTGCAAGTTCAGGCCTTCTCCAAGTTTTGGTCTGCAGTTATCCTGGCCTCCATTTCTGTCCACAGGGGAGGACTTTAATGCAACTATGGGAAAGAAGAGAAAAAAGCAATGAGATGAATAGGCAGACTTTCAAATTAGTAACGTTAAAGGACTGTGACAGAAAACCTCTGGACACAAGGGAGAAGAGAGAATCTGAAACACTGGCATTCACTGAGAATAAAATGAGCAAGCAATCCTTGGGACAATGAACAGCTTCCCATTCCAAAGCTAACAACAAAACGGAAGGATCCAAAGAAGATGTCCGCTGACACTGTCAAAGACAACCTGATGAGCTCATGGTGTTTTTACCACACAACTTGAACTTTCAGGTACCTGAACAAGCTGCTATGAATCCTTCCCTCCATTTCCAATCTAGTTTATGAACCTTTCCCTCTGCATCCAATCTACTCTAGCTACTGGCTAAGATCCCTCAGAAGATGGCCTCTACAAAGGATGGGAATGTCTGTAGAGGTGCACCTCAGGATCAGCAACTAGTGATGGTGAGCAGTAAAAATCAACCATGCACCTTATTCAGAGAGATACTCCTCCCAAATTTTGGGGTAAAAAAATCATTAACACTGTCACTAGGCTTACGTTAGGTTTGCAAGTCATGACCTCATATGGTTCTTGTTCAGAACGCTTCTCCACTTGTTCAAGTCTATTCGTTTTGTCCTGCTAGCTTGTGAGTTGCACCTCTGAGGAAGCATGGGAAGCAGCTGCTCTAGTCATCCGCATCCTCTCACCGGGCGCATGCGTGCGTAGGCACATCCGTGAGCATGCGCAGTCTGGGAAGCAGCATGAATTACAGAAATAATAACAGCTGTCGTTTTTAAGCACTTTGCCAAGGACATTCAGATGCTATCTCGTTTCGGAGCTTGTGGTATTTAACAGAAGTGGGTTCAAAACTTAGTTCTGCCATTTACTAAATGTGTGAGCTCCTTGAGCCTGTTTCCTATCAAGCGAAGTTGGAGCTAGGGAAAACAAAAGCCCGCGGGCTGCAGACTTCCCAGAATTGAAGGATTACCTTACCCTGCAAAGTACGACCTTACACACAGCTTCAACTTTCATCTTTCAATTTCTCTGGTCTCTTTCATCCTCAGACACTTAAACAAGAGAACTTTATTAAATAAGAGAAACTGCCTCGGGCCAGTCCTGTTAAAACTTCTGAAATCCTTGTGTTTATGGCCTAAAATGTCTGGCTCAGGAAAAAAAAAAATCAAGATTTATAAGCAACCAGCTTTTCCTCGGTCTGAACGAAGCCCGTTCCATACAGTATGTTCATGCTTGCAGTGTATCTTGCAGTAGATCTTCAGAGCATGCGTCACACCAGAACTGGAAGCCAAGCCCTTGGTGCTGGTGATGGGGAAAGGTTTTTCTCTGAAGAGGAGGCCAGAAGCCCCGCCTCTCAATAGGATAACTGCAAAGGGCCAGAGAACAGACTTCCTCGGGCCAAAAAAAAAAAAAAGTGAGAGATTTGAGGTAGATGGATGCAACGATCAATCATGACCAGGGCAAGCACCTAATGCTTTCTCTCTGAGGGGTAGCAGAGAGAATGGCCTCTCTTCCCACTTCTATTCTGTATAGCTGCTCCTCCCTTCCTCCCTTCCTCAATTCCTTCCTTCCTTCCTCAATTCCTTCCTTCCTTCCTTCCTTCCTTCCTTCCTTCCCTTCTTAAAAACTGCATGACATGCCTCACTGGTACAGCCTGATGCAGTGCCATGCAACATTCAGCACGCACACACAACACAATGCGACCAGACCAGGTACTCAGCACTTCCTCATCCTTATCTAACCTAGCACAGGTTCAAAAGATTCATTTTTTTTTAAAAAAAAATTAATACATAAATAAGAACACACAGTACTCATTTTTCTGTTCCTGGCTTAATTGGCTTAACATAATCACCTTCAGCTCCATTCATTCTGTTCAAAATGAGAGGATTTCATTTTTGTGGCTGCGTGATACTCCATGGCACATGCATGCGCTGTCTTGGACCATCCACTGATGGCTGGACATCGTACATGCACTAAAACCTCACAACGCTGGAGTTTATCACACTCCACTACTTTTCCAAAAGCTCCAGGCAAGGCACAATTTCAGAGTTCTATGATCTACCAATAAATATAAGACTTCCTGTTACAGAGCAAGAAACAAAACAAAAACAGTCACATGGCAATAGAAACAAAGTAAGCCTGACTCGGGCAAACGGCACTAACACTGTACTTAACCACCCAAATTATCAACAGAGAACTCATCAAACCAAGTTCTAATAAATACAATTGATATTAGTTCCAAGCAAAACTCCTGGCAGGAGAAAAATCACAGAAAATGGTTGAGCAATGATGTTTTGACCACGGAGACGCTGAAGAAATTAAAGAGATCATTATGTCAGAGTAACTGATGATCTGCTTTTGAATTTGTGTTGGCTTTACTGACCAATGTTAAATAGGCACTGGACAGACCCTGCCTGCCAGCAGGACACTGAAGCTACACAAACATGAAAAGAAAAAAAAAAAGTATCAAAAACACTAAGTACCAGATGGCTGAAGGACTTTCAGTAAAAGAACTTGAAGAAAAAAAAATAGGATCAAATAATTTCCACAAAATATTGCACAGAATTATAAATGTGGCAAGGACAATATTTAATATGCTAACTGCTTCATTGAATTTTGTGAGAAGTGCATTGTGGGAAATGATCCCAGGTCAACTTGTGGTAAAAGATGTAAGTAAATACAGTGTACAGATGTGTCCAGGAAGGGTGTGTTCCCTCCCAGAGTCACCTCAAACACACTACTGTGCTTGTTCAGAAAATTCACTTTATCCTCTGGCTTCTCTACCCAGACATGCCATCTCCCTCCTTCTCTCGATCTCATACCAACTACCCCTTCCTTCTTAAAATGACCAGGAAGTATATTACTTCTGCTCACTTTTGTGCATCTACTGCTCACCTTGACTAGAAAGCAGAGACAGAGCAGGTGCCATTTCACACTGTCACAGGGCTACTCCCGTCGTCTAGATCACTTTAAACACATGTGTCCCAGTGCTGTGTGGTAGTGAGCAGGCGCTGCAGGCCCAGCAGTGTCCTTGCAGGACCATGCATGTCACCTGCAGGACGGCCCCACAGCATTAGCTCTGCTGCTCTTTCAATATATTAACAAACTGAGAGTTCAGGGAGGTCAAGACACTCCCCAGGGTCACAGAGTTCTCAGAAATGGAGCTTGGATAAAAAGCCAGGGAGCCTGATTCCAGTGTGTGCGGAATTACGAACCACCTCCTAGACTTCTCCACTCCACAAACCACCTCTGACCTCTAGCTTCCTCATCTTCCAGTGAGGGCAAACGCCATATACAGAACCTGAGTAGCTGGAACCAGTCACTGAGTCAAGGGCAAAGACAATAAGCGTCCCCTCCAGCCATCACAGCAAGCTGTGAGAAGGTGCCAACAGGGAGTTACCCAGTCTTCCCACCTTACATAGGAGCATCAGTCCCTAATGGGACTGTTAGAACTACAGGACATTGAGAGTACTTAACCCTAAATGACTGCATACTCAGCTGTCTGGGACACTTAAAATGTTACAACTCGGGAATTACATGTACAACAATGCAGAAAAACAGAGAAGATCTCTGGGAATAAAGTCACCCACCGATTCTGACAGGAAGTCAGAATGTGACAGTCTTCCCACCAGCCCGTTCACCCCACCTCCCAAAGCCCGAGGATCTGACTTTGAGCATTCAGTGTATGAGCAAAACAGTAAACCATGAATATGCTTCCATTTTCTCCTCATGGAGAAACCCATAAAACAGCCCCACAACATAACCTAGTTAATCCAATCAATGGTGGGGTTTAGAGTGTAAATATGTCATATTCTAGATTCCAGCCTTATTCCCACTTGCATTTAAGTCTACTCCTGCTTGCTAATGTGCAACCCTCCTTCCCCATGTATCTAAGCTCAGACATCTAGTTCTTCCGACATGCCAAATGTTCCCTCTTGAGAAAAGCAAACTTCAAATTATTCAAGATGAAAAACGCATGCAGAAAAAAAAATGGTGATAAAGTTTATTTTGTACTTTGTAATAAGTTGCACTTAAACAGGAAAATGACAGGATGAATCCTGCCAGAGGAGAACATACGCTTTCTAAATCCCTAATCGTTGCCATAAATTCAATTGATTTTACAATAATATTTATCATCCCCTTTATTACTCTGGCAAGGAAAGATAAATTCCACTCCCACACTGACATAAGCATGAAAGACAGAGAGCTAAGACTTGGAAGATCCAACTAACCATAGAAGATTTTATCAATTAAAGAGGGTGAAATAGTATAGTATTTCCTAAATGTAAAGAAAATAGCCCTAGTTTACTTTAGCCTGGTATTTACAAATAACTTGCAAATAACATTAAGCACACCTAGGACTAAAACACATTTCACTTCAATGCATAACATTTCCTTTTGTGAATGAAGTGTTCTTTTCCTTTTGAGGGAAAGAAAGCGGTGTTAAGTGTGTTGTGTTTTCATCCCCAGGAAACAAAGCTGAGGTTCGTACAGTCCAGTAGCTTCTGATGGTGCAGATCATGTTTCTGTTTTTCTGCGTGTAAATTTCCAATCACTGATACAAAAGTAAGGCAAGTCTGATTTTGTAAAATGTGAATGTTCCTTTGCACATGCATGACTGCAAGGTTAAGAAAAAAGTGGTTACTTTTTCTAGATTTATTCATTTTTTTGGAAGGTAAATTTACAGAGAGAAGGACAGACAGAAAGACCTTCTGTCTGTTGATTCACTCTCCAAGCGGCCACAATAACTGAAGCTGAGCCGCTCCGAACTTGGAGTCAGGAGCCTCTTCCAGGTCTCCCACATGGGTGCAGGAACCCAAGGCTTTGGGCCGTCCTGGACTGCTTTCCCAAGCCATACGCAGGGAGCTGGATGGGAAGTGGAGCAGCTGGGACACAAACCAGTGCCCATATGAGATCCTGGCGCATACAAGGGCGAAGAATGATTACAGTCTTTACAGCAAATGCAAAATAAATTTACAAGGAGAAAAGTCCT